TATGGATATTTTATTGTTTAATAATTAGGATACTAATTTGTTTATGTTTTAATTATTATTATTATGTTTATGTTAAAGGGGAGTTAAAGTGCATTATGGACTTGGTTATTTATATAGTTGGTTAATGTTAGTTAGATTATGATTATTATATTTGTAACCCTGTATTCAGCTCTGGGAAGTGGGGGAGGGAGAGGGGGGGTTAGGGTGGGTTGGTTTTGGGGTTTATATTGTAACTTTTATAAAACTTTTCAATAAAAAAAATGTACCCACTCCAAAGCTTATCTTAAGGAAAGTACAGGTAGACTTTGACTTTCCCAGCAGGCTTCTGACAAGCAAAGATTTAGCCAGATTTGCTTAATGACCGCCTAATTCATTTAACAACTACAATGGGCTCAACGGTGGTTGTAAGTTGAGATGTGTAAAATACGTCTAATGTCCTTTTCAATACAAGGTGGACTGCTTACAAGTTAACAACAACAACAACAATAATAATAATAATAATAATAATAAAGTTTGGAGGTCTTCTAATCCAACCCCCTGCTCAGGCAGGAAACCTTATACCATTTCAGATAGTTGATGGAGGAAATCACTAACCTATAAGGAGACTTATTCAAACGCTCTCTCAAGACTAATAATGGTCCTGGTCAAATTCACCCACCAGAAATGAAAGATGGACTATCATGTTTCTTATCAAAGAGAAACTGCTGCCTTCTTCAGCCATCTTAATAATAATAATAAAGTTGGAAGGGACCTTGGAGGTCTTCTAGTCCAACCCCCTGCTCAGGCAGGAAACCCTAGACCATTTCAGACAAATGGCTGTCCAGTCTCTTCTTAAAAACCTCCAGTGTTGGAGCATTCACAGCTTCTGGAGGCAGGTTGTTCCGCTGGTTAATTGTTCTCACTGTCAGGAAGTTTCTCCTTAGTTCTGGGTTGCTTCTCTCCTTGGTTAGTTTTCATCCGTTGCTTCTTGTCCTGCCTTCAGGGGCTTTGGAGAATAGCTTGACTCCCTCTTCTTTGGGGCAGCCCCCGAGATATTGGAACACTGCTATCATGTCCCCCCTGGTCCTTCTCTTCATTAAACTAGACATACCCAATTCCAGCAACCGTTCCTTATATGCTTTAGCCTCTAAGCCAAAAGCTCTTACTTTGTATTGAGTGAGGTACAGCATCCCCTTCTTGGCTCCTCGGAGTTCTTCTGGAATATCTGGTTCTCCTTCCAGAAATAATACCACTTCACTATAGTGAGCCAGGACCCTGAAAATACAACAGATGGAGCAGAAGATTATAATGCACCTCAAGGGGAAGAGAGGGAGGCTTCATAGGAAGGACAAGTCAGGCTAGATCTACCTAGTTGGGTAACGCAACATCTGCAATGAAACAACCAAACTCAAAGAGCACCCAGGAACTCCACCAGGCATACAACTCAGTTCCAATCTTAAGTCCAACAGCAAACATGCACACTTATTTATTTTAAAAGCTACTCTCCTCTGTTCAGTCTGGTTCCATTTTTTTTATGCTATTCTTGTATCTGCTATTCAAAATGCAGCTCGAGTATTTATCATGCCCCACTGTCTGTGCTTTTTCTTCTAGCATAATAACCAGTTTAAATATTTTCTTCTGATTTATGCGTAGCTCCTAACATTTACTTGATTCATACAACTAACTGGAATAAAATTTATAAATCTTGCTTACTGTTTCTTAGAACAGCGTAATGTGCATAATGTAAATTGCCCATTATCACCACCCTTGATGTTTATACCTACTTGACCTTCTAAATATTTTCTAAGTATTTTTTTTAAACAGTGTTGGAATATATATTAAAAACGGTATCTCGCTCCTTTGTTGTGCTCCACAAAATATTCGTTTTTTCTAATGCATAAACAATTGCGATTTGTTTCCCCTTTAATAATACTGAATATCTCTCCCGTCTAGTCTTATGGTTTCTAGCTTTTAGTCTTCAACCTATTTTAATACAGCCTAATCCAGAGGTGGCGAACCTATGGCATGCGTGCCCAGAGGCGGCACATGGAGCCCTCTCTGTGGGCACACGCCATCGCCCCAGCACACATGGTCTCTAAAAGTTCGCCATCACTAGCCTAAGGCCAGCCAGCTTGTAGCCACCATTGGGGAGCCCACCATCCCACCCGCCAGAGACCCCCTGGATCTCCCCCAACCCTGCCCGGCTCCCACAGGTGTCCCTCCCCATAAGCAACATCAAGGTGGCCACGCCCACCCCGGCCATGCCCACCCAATCTGCCATGACTACTGCAGCCACGCCCATCCAGTGGCCACGCCCACCCAGTCTGCCAAGCCCACTGTAGCTGCGCCCGCTGAGTGGGCCGCACCCACCCGGCACCTGGCGATACATAAGTGGGTTTTGGGTTGCAGTTTGGGCACTCGGTCTCTAAAAGGTTGGCCATCACTGGCCTAATCTTCACATTAAATATTGAAAATCAAATCCTGAGCAATTCTAGATATTTCCACCTTTGAACTAAATCAAGACGTTTTCCCTGTCCCCAGTAACTACACAGTCTTTACCCCTGTTATTTTGGATATATTTAATTTAATTTAATTTACCTTTCCTCAGAATTGTTGGCTGACCTAGAGAATTGATATCGAGTCACCTCCATATTGAGAGAGGAGCCCCTTTTCTTTCTCCGATACTCACACTCTCCCTTCAGATGAGGAGCACTGGAAACAAAGAGAAATATCTGGATTATGTAAGTATCTCTGTGATGTCAGCAGGTGAGGTAACAGCCCTGACTTTCAGTTGAAATTGGGGCTGTTATATATCCCTTTCTTTCTCCATCCTTTTTTTTCCCCCTCAGGAGCTGCTTCCATGGGGCTAGATTCGTACTATGTTCCCATTCCGATTTTCTGTCAATACAAAGTTTTCGTAGTTCTATTAGGAAATTCATGTTTTAAACAGGTGACCATCTTCTTTGTTCCATCATTTGCTTACAGGAGTTGTATGCACGGTCGGTCCTTCCTTCCTTCCTTGCACGGTCCTTCCTTCCTTCCTTTCTTTCTTTCTTCCTTCCTTTCTTCCTTCCTTCCTTCCACGGTCCTTCCTTCCTTCCTTCCTTGCACGGTTCCTTCCTTCCTTCCTTCCTTCCTTCCTTCCTTCCTTCCTTCCTTCCTTCCACGGTCCTTCCTTCCTTCCTTCCTTCCTTCCTTCCTTCCTTCCTTCCTTCCTTCCTTCCCTTCCTTTATTCATTCATTCCTTTCGTCATAATAACCTAACAGCACATTACATCACAGTACATTAGGTCTTCAACCTTTCACCAAAAGACAAAATGAAAATTATATCAATGCAACTGTTAAGGTTTAGAACCGTTTCAATGAAATCAGCAGGACTTAATTCAGTTAACGGCTAATTGAATTCCGGTTAATTTCAACGCGCGTGCTAAATGTATGACTAAATCTGGATCCAGCATTGTATATATATATGGAGATTCAGGAACTTTGTTCTGTCTGTTCCGCCGCTCATCCCCACCCGTCATTCACCTTACTTTAGAGAAATTAAACATGACTTATAATATTATCCTACAATACTTAGCATCTACTTTTCTTTGAACCTGGATGATGTAAGGCCCATCCATTTTTCCATGGCATTAGAATGCCCATTTTAAGAGACAAGAGTTGTTAAACAAACGTAACAAATCACCAGCACGTCTATTAACTTGTTTATTTGACACACCAATTGCAAAATTGCTGATATATCCTTTTTTTCCCCCTTAGCTACAATCTTGCCACTATGTACAAAATATATGATAAATGTACTACACATATAAAAATACAATATGCATTACATATATACAGTACAATGTGCAAAACATGGCAAAAGTCAACATATGGAATTGATTGTAGGGGTGCAAACAGCAAATACGAAGGCATCATGGTCTCTTTTACAAAGGCAATAAAACCACTGGATGCTCAGCTCGCCAGCGTGAGGTTGGTTTTTTTTTTTTTTCCCTTTTCCTTAAAAAAAAAAAATATCTAGCCGTTAACGAGGCAACCTTTTACAGGCCGGTGTATTCATCTTCTTATTTTCATAAAGTGAGATGCTTAGACATAATTGGGAGTATGAAAAGAAGAAGAGGGAACACTTGCCATGCGAAGCACGATGACTACCGCAAGCAGTACAGTGGAATAAAAAGTAAAAATAAATCTCCCTGACCACAGAGATCTGTGCTCATGTCTCAATTCAGTTTCACAATAAAAAAAAGAGAGGGTATTCCTATTATTCGACACGAAGACAGAAGCGACCTCGGAAATATATCTACATCTTCAATATAAAATAAAATTCCCCCCCTCCCCCGGAGGACAGTGCAGAAAAAAACTTCTATTTTATTTTCCTGGTAGATTAAAAAAAATAATAATAGGGGGTGTGTGGGCCTTGGCGAGAGAAGCGGAAAAATGCTTTGGTTCTTCCTGGACAATTTTTGCAATTACCACTTCTTTTAAGGCTCTGGATTTCTGAATCTGCATCGTCGTGAAGAATTGGGGGAAAAAATAAATAAATACAAAATGCTGGTTTCTCGGTTCGCGTTACAAAAACAACGAAGGCACAAAGAAACCTTCTGTTGTGATGGCACTTGCCAGTTGTTGTTGTTTTAGGCTAGGACCGCGTATTAGTTCAGACACATTCTGATCTCGGCTGTACACCGAGCTAAATGGCTCTCCAAGCTCCAATTAGATGTGCATATATCTGAAAGACCTTTTAGGTTCGTCAACACACTACACACTTTGTTTGCAGATTATGAACATAATTCATGAAACAAATCACTCCCGTTTTTACAAGGTATTTTCCTCCCATTTTTTACAATTATGCAGAAACCATACTTTGCATGTCCTGCTAACGTAGACTATAATTCACTGTAAAAAAAAAAAAAAAAACACCTGGGAAGGGGCAAGGAGGTAAAGAGCTGCCAATGGTTGTGATTTGTTATAAAAAAGGACAAGCGGTCTAATTTATCAAAATTCAATACAACTGTATATTAGCTTTGTCTAACTACGTCGTTTGCTCATCCAGAAAACAGGTGCAACTTCATTTCCGTATTCCAGTTCTAACAGAACTTTACAGCTATTATCATTTGATAGCAATTGAATTCCAATGCAGTGTGCTAGGAATAGTTCCACTGACTTGATCAATGAGGTATCATCCAGCCAAAATAAAACACTTTAGAATCCCATGGATTACCTGGAGACTTAAAAAGTACTTTGGCTTTATCGTGGTTAGTAGGTCTAGGCCGTGTACAGACTGTGCACATCAACTACTACTGATTTTGTCCAGAAGTATTACAGAAATCCTTGATGACCAGTTTGAAAACTTAGAGGAAGAACAGGTTTTGGAGAGTAACCCATTAAATATAAAGAGATTAACTAATTAGTTCTGGAGCTATAGCTATGACTATGTAAGTCATATTTGTGTGTGCAATATATATATATGCCTGCAGTGCAATTCAAAGTAAGTTTACTCAGAAGTCAGTCCCAATAAAATAACTGAACTTATTTTCTTAGTCAAAGGACCCAAGACTGTCGACCCATTTTCTTCTTAACTGCTGCTGCTGAATCAACAATCTGAAGTATTTTTTAAAAAGGCTAATAAGAAACATTTTTATTCGGCTAGAAAAGAGCTTGAAATGCCCACCCAATTTGTTAAGCAGAATTTTTTGCCTGTATAAAAAAAAAAAAACCTCCAACCTGGAAATCATAACCATGACATAAATATCAACTTTCTCTCCATGCACAATTGCACAGATTTATCCAATATGTCCATAATTTCTAGTTTCTGAAAACAGTGATGGAATGCCATCACTGAAATATCACATGGCATCATATATACAGTACACGATTAGGCATAACAATAACAAAACAAAACCTCTATCTTGGAGGAGATTGAAGAAATATATATCCTTACAGCAGAAACTGGCCTCATTTTGCTTATTTGTTCTCTTATGTTTTTTTCTGCAGTCAACAAGGAAACTATAACCAGAAATGAATTGCAGAAAAATTGGTAACCGTTGTTTCTCTGTGATCCATTTCACAACTTCATCTAGGACTGGCATAAACAGACAGAACACCCTGACAAAGTTATTCTTCCTTTGTATACCTGCAAACAGCAAATCTAGCTATGCTTCTATATTAAATTAATTTGATGATGGAGAAGGGTGCCATAGTCTTATCTCAAACTTACAATTTAGTCATACCTATCTGACTTCTGAGCAGCTATGTTTGAGATTACATTGCAGGCACGTACGGTATATTCTGGACACACAAGAACAGCTGGCAAATAAGCTTAGCCTGCAATAATCTTTGCTACTCTCTTCCTTCACAGTTTTAGAAAGAAGCAAGCAGACCTAGGCAACAGTAGTTTTCACTCTAGCCCACTCTTCAAAATTTGATCTTCCAGATGCTGTAACTGCAGGTGGGGTGATCCTGAAACTCCCATGAGTGGACCAATCTCATAAATGGAAAAAAAAAGGCAGGCAAAACTAAGCAAATGAAGAATCACGTAGCTGCAGTAAATTTGATATCTGCTCGGAAGGCATGCTTAGTGCTACTAAACAAATTCCAAGTGTTTGTGTGCAGAGAAAGACGAGGCTAGCAGTGCAATTTGTAATCAAAGATAAGGAGCCAAATGTTCATATTACAAAAAAAATATATCAAGTGTACAGAAATTATCCAAGCAATAATATATATGTCTGTATATATATATATATATATAAATATAAATATAAAGAAACTGTTCACAAATACCAGATTCACATACACTTGGTAAAGATTGCACATCTCAGGATGTCCTATTAAAAGCAAACCATTACCCAGATATGTTTTATAATAAAGTTCTGCTTCGAAATGCACAGAAAACAACACACACTCTTAGCCTAAAAATAAATAAGATTCCGTTATAAATGTTCATGATCCCTTAATGTTTTTTTTCCTCTTCCCCCCCCCAGAAGGAAGTTTTACACTGGTTATCACCACTTTGCTGTCTGGATTTTATTCCAGGCTGAGTTTGCATTTTTTGTTGTTGTTGTACATGCTCCCACATGGCTTGGATAGCACACTGGGCATGAAGGCATTTGTGTAGCATGGCACCACACAATACTATTTAATTTTTTAAAAGCTTTATGTACATGCTCTCTGCAATGGCAGCCTGGTCAGTAAGAGGACAAAAAAAATCTTGACAATTGTGGCACATTCTAAGCAAGAGAGATGTAGCCGATGAGCAGGAAAGGACGAACTATTGCTTACAAGCTATAAGAAATTAACTTCTCTGACTGTGTGGATCAGTCAGATCCCTGGTAGGTTCCAACTGGATTACACAGTGAGAGACACACACACACACACACACCCGCATTACCAGGAGAGGCTTTTTAAAAGCCAGGCTGGTGACACGTTTTTATAAGCTCTATGGATCTCATGCTTCCATTCTACTCCAATACATGCTGCCTGTACAGTATTAACATTTTAAAATGGCAAAAGATGAAGAAGCTTGTTCAGTGTCAACAACTGATCTGACAGTCAGGAGGATAGGAAGGGAGTTGCTTGGAAAAGAGGATTCATTTACATTTACGGGTATTCAGGTAGAACCAATTTTGAAAGTAGTGAGATGCACCATGTATAACAAATATTATGTAATGGTGCAAGTCAACTCTCCAGCCTAGCATGTTTCTGTAACTGCTAGGGGGCCAAGGAGATCAAAAAAGTAGAAGCCTGACATCGCTAAAAGTACCAAACCGGGGAAAGCTAATGAAACAGCTTTATATCAGCCTTTCCTGGTTTTTCTTGGGACTTTTCCTTGTTCTCAATTTGCTCTGGGGTAGAATTAAAAGAAAAGAGGTATGCAGATCAGCACATCCTGCTGAAAAAGGCAAAACTGTCCCTTAAATCCAATGGGAGTTGGGGATGGAGAGTCAGATTGGCTCAACATCCATATTTAAGCATAGATCTGTTCTTCTTTGGATTAAAACATCGTACATGCTGCATCAATCGAAATATTCTAATTGACGGCAAGATAGAGCTCGTATCTCATAGCTGTTCCTACTGAAGCCAGGGTAGAGTATTAAATATCTTATTTCAAACTGGTGTCTGTGGGAGAAAAAAGGCATTTAGTGGAAGACGCTTAGCATATCAAAAGATTGTTCTCCCTCAAAGGATGGGGAAATGGAATGGTCAAGGTAAAAATACTTACTTTCTCTCAAAGTCATTTCAGACTGTCTGACTGAAAACACTCCTAGCTGTAGGCTAAACCACAAATAAAGTTTAGCTCTAAAACAAAACGCAAGATGGCATAAGGATGTTGTTCCAAACGAAAGATCCCAAACTGGTGTTTAGGGGAAAGTTGCTGATGTTTTTGGCTTTGGCCTGGAGCTACCTCGACACCGGGAATATTTCCTCATCTCGTCTCAACAATTGGCATCTTCACAGTTATGGCTTTTAGGAGAACACAAACTGGCACCTGTGCACTGCAAACAGACAATCGGCTCAAAATATTGTGCATTAGATAACAAACACTAAACAATCCAGCAAACACTGCTTGACACGACTGGATTTGTTCTCCTTGAATCAATGACAATTCTATGGGGTGCCTAAGGGCACAAGCAAAAAAGCTCCCATCTGCAGAACCAAGCACTTGTTTTAACGAGAAACGATACAAATTCTGACAAAGTTCTATTTTTTTTTTCTCAAAAAAAAAAAAAAAAATCAAATTCATCTGGTTCTGGGGAATGAAGAGAGAACTTTGGCTTGAAAAACCCGATTGAGCAATCTTTTAGAGCAGTGCTTCCCGTTGGCAGCTTCATTTGTGCGTGGACTTTCACCCCCCAGAATTCTGTCAAGGGTGATGCTCACTGTGGAATTATGGGACTGAACTGGAAGTCTACATACCTGGAAATTGCCAAGGTTGGGAAACATTACTGTAGAAGGTTGTTGATTTCGCTTTAGATTTCTTCATGATTAAAAAGACCGCTAACTGAGATTTAAAAACAGAAGCTGGAACCTGTTGTTGACAGTTTTTTTTAAAATCTCCATCTCCAAAAGAAAAAAAAAACCAATATAGGCTGTGGTGCAACATTGGGAAAGATCTAAATAGCTCTGATGGTGTTCAAAAGCAGATGATGTTGAAGGGATTTCTTTTGTCAATTTTTCATTCCATGCAGAAATTCCTGACATATCCAAAGGACGTCAAGCAACCCGTGCTGTGAAATTCTGGAATTCTGCAGTCTACTGGGAAGCAGATGCTTTTTGATAGAACTAATTCAAACTGTTATATAGGTGAATGGCCCTCATTAATACATATGATATTTAAATAAAAAAATGGGAAATTCTGAGAAGTTTTAGAACAACCTGACTACGGAGGTAGAATGAACGTACAGGAACATGGAAGTCTGCAGCTCTACTTGCTTTTGTCAAATCTAGGAAAGGAGCATTGCCAGCTCCTTTGGGATAGGTGTGCAACTTCACAACTTATGCACAAAAGGAGTGGGGCTTGCATTGCGATGACATTACTTTTGTCAGACAGAATTTCTGTCCTCCGTGCTTCTTTTTCACAGCAGTTTTAAATTCCAGGTTTCATTTAAAAGATAAACTATTAAACTTAATTCAAAATCCATAGGGTGGATGAACTGAAAAAAAAAACACCTAATCATGAGCAGTGCTCCATAAGCACAATACTAAATTCTAGAATAAAGAATAACTTTTTGTCAAGAAACGTAACATTTAAACAGCCCCCTGTCCTTTAATAATTCAGTTAGCAATTTTTACTGTATTAACCGATTATCCTCAATTTAAAGTTTAACGGTGATTTTTAATTTTTCTTTTAACAATGGGGTTTCAATTGTTTTCCAAATAATGGCATACTAGGGGAAAAAACATAATCTCCCAGACATTTTAGATCCCATGTTTACTTATTTATATTTCATTATATGTCTTTTACTACTCTATTTCTTTTTATATGTTCCTTATCTTTCTTGGTTTATGTTTCTTTTTTCAAAAGGGCTTTGTAAAAATAACTTTAAAAGAAAGCAGCTTTCCTAGAATAGATATACTTTTATTTTTTTTTAAATGCCACAGGGCAGGGGTCTCCAATCCCTGGTCTGTGGATCAGCACTGCAGCATGCAAAACTGGTCCGAGAAAACATGTGAAGCCCCATCCGCGGGATGCAGGCAACAGGCGAAATCACGCCCCTTCCAGTCCATGGGAAAACCTCTCTCCACGCAACCAGTCCCTGGTGCCCCAAAGATTGAGGGTATCCTCTAATCCAAATTAATGGGAACACCAGACTAAAAAAAAACAACAACACTGATTTTAAGTCCTTTAAATATTTTAAGATGACAACTGAGGTCTCCCAAACACCGGGGCGGGGGAAGTGTGTGAAATATTTTTCCCAATATGCACCAGTTCCTGCATACCCTCTGCACAAACTGAATCAAAGTTTTAACCATAAATGTAACTGATTATTACACGCCGTGACAATGCACATTTACAGAGGTTTGCCGTTGAGATAAGCCAGTAACTGTCAAGGGGAAGAAAAAAAAATACTTCCTTTATTTTTCTTTCCGATGCTGCGCACAGACAGTCCCCCTTTTCACGCATGAAAGAAGATTTCCATAGCGGCACACTTTCCGACTGCAGGTTATACAATTATTGGTATCACAAAAATAATACTAATCATAAAAAAGGTCAAAAAGAACTGAAAGAACCTTTTTTTAAGCTGTCAAATATTGTTTTCAAGTAATACGGTCGGTTTAAAGCTGAAATTCTATGCATTCTTATAGGACAGGGGTAGGCAACCTTGGCTCTTTTATGACTCGTGGACTTCAACTCCCAGAATTCCTGAGCCAGCCATGCTGAGGGGAAAGGGAGAGGCTTCCAAGCTGAGCTGGCTCAGGAATTCTGGGAGTTGAAGTCCACGAGTCATAAAAGAGCCAAGGTTGCCTACCCCTGTAATAGGAGAAAGAGCTGAATAGAATAGAATGGGGGTGATTTCTGAATAAAGATGCACAGGATTTAGCAGCGCCACAAATAAAGGCGGCAAGTCTAAAAGGAAACATCTGCTCGTCTTTTTTAAAAGAATACACTAGTGGGAGAGAGAAGCTTTTTAAATCATGAAGAAATCCAAACCTAAGTCTAGTTTCATCCCTTTTATAAAATCCCCCATTGGTTTTAGCTCAGTCAAAAGATTTCTCACAATGCAAACGAACGCTTTTGTCGAGGGTGTCCGCGGAGACAGAAAAGGTGCGACGTCGTCGTCCTTAAGCCAAACAGTTTGTTCTCAATGTGCCCACTCACCTGAATCGTTGCTCATAAGCTTACAACAATCACAATCCTTCCTCTGTTCTTGGAACATTCTTAATCTTTTCTTTTTAAAATAAAAATAAAAATCTTGCGCTAAGATAATTATAGAGATGAGCTTGAGAACAAAAGGAGAGTGAAACAATGGACCTTGTTATTAAGTGGAGCTTTGAAAAACCCTGGGGCCAAGTCGGTTCCGCCTTTTCCGTTTAATCCCAGTGCAACTGCAGATCTTGTGGATCCAGGAAATCTGTTGAAAACATGCTGGGAGCCGTCGAGCTGAGCGGCGTTAATCCCGAGGAAGTGGCTGGCATGGTGAGGTCTAGCCACTCCATATTGTCTAAATTGGGGTCTGGGAGGTCCAGGGATAAACATGAACTGGGAGTGAACTGCGACTCAGAAGTCTCCATTGGGGAGTGAGAGTGATCTAGTATGCCAGTATGATTAAGAAGGTCGTTCTGTAGATCCTCAATGACCGAGAAGGATTCCTTGTCTTCGTTACCGCTGGTCAGGTGAGGCATCCCGTTACCTGAGGGTAGAGTTCCCTCCAAAAGAGCTTCTAACTGATTCTCCAGAGACAAAGAGAAATTGCTGGTGGGTTCTAAGGAGAGAGGAGGCGCCATTTGGACTTGTGGGGGTGGGCGTGACACCACGGTGTTGACTGGCATGGTGGTGATGTTGGCGGTGACTGGCCTCATCTTGGAAATCAGAGCGGGTTCTTCCTTCATAGGCATAGAGATCTCTGCAGAAAAGACAACGGCGGAAAAATCAGTATTTTTATTTTTATGCAGCCTTTATTGTTTTCATAAATATTTCAAGCTGGTGGACATACTTCATACTCCTTCCTCCTCCTATTTTGTCCACAAGAACAAACTTGTGAGATGGGTTGGGCTGAAAGACACCCAGCCAGCTGTCATGCCTAAGGTGGGACTAGAACTCACATCTCCTGGGGATTGGCCCAATGTCACCCAGCAAATTTTCATGTCTAAAGTGGAACTAGAATTCACCTCTCCTGGTTTCTAGCCTGATGCCTTAACCACTAGACCAGGGGTCTTCAAACTTGGCCCTTTTATGACTTGTGGACTTCAACTCCCAGAAATCCTCAGCCAGTGTGCCTGGCTGAGGGATTCTGGGAGTTGAAGTCCACAAGTCATAAAAGGGCCAGGTTTGTAGACCCCTGTACTAGACCTATCCAGCTCCATTTTTCACTGAATCCATAAAGTAAAAGGGAAACAGCTCACTTTAATGGATTGCTTTAACAAAATACGCAATTTTTGGATGCCCTAAACTTTCATTATTCTTAAGCCACTGAGTCAATCTTGACTTCTGTACTTTGATATAAATAACTTACCAACTGTATTGGTATACAAAAGGATTTTTGCAGGAACTACAGTCCTGAATGATTTCCCCTGGGAAAAAGCTTGCCACAAAACATTATTATTGCTTTCTATCAAGGGAAATAATTTAGGATTATAATCCATGGACTTGAACTGAAACTGTTATCTGTTTATTATTAAACAGATAACCATGTCGGCAAATCAATTATTCAATTTTTTTTTTCCTCCCAAGACTTTTTTGTGACTACCCCTCCATTTGCCAATTCAGGAATTATCAATAATTGTCTGATCGGAGACAGAAACTGGGACCAAGCCAAACTGAGATGGTTTCAAGATTACTTTATGCCATCAAAGACGAACACAGAGATAATAAACCAATTTTCAGTGTTGAATAACAAACAACACAAATAATCTGGTACTGATACAATCCTAAAATAGAACGCTTGAGAGTTGGCCAAAGAAATCAAGAGGTTTTGCCCTTTGGTTAGCATTACATCTGACTCAGGGTCCCCATTTCGCTGCTTTCCTCGCAAGGCTGAATCCAAAGACCAAAATTCCTGGATTCAGATTCTGATCTGTCAGAAAACTTAACCATCTAAGAATCCTGATTCAGATATTACATTAAACCACGACTGGAGGTTTCATACTCTGTTTAATCACTTCTCCTGGCCAGAGCAACGAAAGTGAATCGCCATGTTTGACCTGATTCAGCCAAAATGGTCCACCTACAGATGTGCAAAGCTAGTCGACCCAGCCACAGGATATTCTGAAAACCCCCTGGCCTTAAGCCTGCCTGTTACATTCAAAACATGATGGCTTGGCTAGATCCCTGGGAACCACTTCCAGTTCAAATGATTCACTTTCAGAAACTGCCAAAATGCCCCTGGAACAGTACGATTTGGGAGGAGGTTTGGCATGGTCCAGAGGGAACAATGTTCTGTTCCTGGACTAATTTTGCAGTGCTATAAATTCTGTCCAATAACAAATACAAGTTGTTCTCCCATTAAAATAAAAGCAATGGATTCTATATCTTATTCCTTAGAACGCTCATAACGTGGTCCTCTAGTCTGGATGAAAGACACTCAAAAACCAAAAACTCAAATAGAGTCATGTGCGTCTCACCTCCGCTCTTAATGAGGATATCAAAAAGATCGTCCATATGCTGGCTGTGGGCATTGGAAATCTGTCAACAAAGGAAAATTATTGTTTATTTTACCATACTGTTTCCCAAAGTACAAAGATGATTTGTAGTCTATGATAGCTTGGAATCATAAAAGAATGTAGTGGTGTACAGGAACAACCTGCCTGCAGAAGTTGTGAATGCTCCAACACTGGAAGTTTTTAAGAAGAGACTGGACAGCCATTTGTCTGAAATGGTATAGGGTTTCCTGCCTGAGCCAGGGGATTGGACTAGAAGACCTCCAAGGTCCCTTCCTCCTCCTCCTCCTCCTCCTCCTCC